CGGGCCGGGCCTGGTCCCGGCCAGGCACTTCCAACCTACGAAGAAGGCCGGCGGCGGCGCCCGGGTTGAGCGCGGCTCTTTCCCGCCTAAGAAGAAAGAGTTCTTGCCGCCCTTTCGCCGGCGCGCCCCGGCTGCAGCTGCTTCCCCGTTCCCCCAGGCAGCCCTTTCCCACCCCTGCCTCTGTTTTTGGCCCTCATTTCAGCCTGCGAACTCCCCTCCGTCCCTGTTTTCCTCCTTGCTCCACTGTCTCCTGTTTCTGGAGCGCAAGTACTTCCCAGCCTAGATAGGTCCTCGTCTCTAGGAGTGGCCCCAAAAAGGAGAATTTTGCTAGCGGTGTAATTTCTTCTAGCATCGCACTGTAGGGAAAAGAGGATTTGGGCCTAGTGAAACATGCAGTATTCTGCGTTAGCTCTTAAAGATACAGAATCCTTCTCAGATACTTATTTGATATCCTGCCTTTCCTTCAGTAGCTCAAGGTGGCATATTCAGCGCTCCCTCCCCCAGTTTTTCCCCAAACCCTCTGTGTGTGTGTGTGTGTGCACGCGCGCGCGTGCACCTGGCATATCCAGCAAATTTGCTTCTTACCCTTATTTTCCATCACTGCATCCCTTTCTGCTTGATCCCGAGACTGCTGCATCTCTTCTACATTACATTAGTGCTCTTTTCACATTAGGCAAGATACCAGTACAAGATTCAAGCTGATCGCTTGTCAAAATACATTTTTAAAACACTGGATGAAGTCAGATAATTTATTCTGGATCAGTATTTGCTCATACTTTTGGTGAGGCTGTATTATGATACATAAAGATACATTCAGCCAGTTAGAGAAGAGTGTTTTGGTGGCATTTTCTGTTTTGGAACACTTTGGAAGGTACAGCTTACCTCTTTTTTCTCATTAGGCCTCTGCCATGTTTGCAATTTTTTGTATACTTCTGGCCTAGTTTACTGTCCTTTGTTTCTCTCGTAGTTCAGTCTGCATTTCCTTTCATTTGCTCCTTTCCTAGGAGTTTAATCTCGTTTCTTCTGCGGTATCCACGTATCTGGTTAGGCTATGCTTTGGGCTGTTGTAGTACCTGAATAAATGGTAATGGTTTCCATTCATAGGACCTAGATCAGTGTTTCTCAACCTTGGCCACTTTAAGATATGTGGATTTCAACTCCCAGAATTCCCTACCCAGCATGGCTGGCTGGGGAATTCTGGGAGTTGAAGTCCACATATCTTAAAGTGGCCAAGGTTGAGAAACACTGACCTAGATGGAACTCTTCTTTGGCTTTCCTTTATATGATGTGCTCCTTTGAAAGTTGTAAGATTTGCCCAGTTTTTATTCTCTTGGTCTTGATTGTACTGTATGTACAGTGTTCAGTTGTTCATCTTACAGGATTTAAATGAAACTCCCAAATTGTGTTTGCATATTCATATCACATACTATTTCTCTTTCTTAATGCAGAAGGCAGTAACTAACCAAGTTCACACTTCATGCTAACCTATAATGTGATTTATTTGATTTTAGCTTAACATGTTATGCGAAGGAAGCTATTTATCCACCAGGTTATAGTTAAACAAGTCATGTTCACCTTCTCCAGTGTTCTGTTACTTTGAGCATAACAGAAACATTTTAATACCAGCCCAATTTCAGGGGTTTTTCTTTTTCTCTTTCTTGGACATTTTTGCTACAGTGTGGTTTTACTATAGGGTACTGAGTTTTAAGATATGCTTGATATAACCATGTTTTCATTAGGATTGTGATGGGAGGATTTCTTGGGGTTAGTTCATCAGAGGCACCTCGGACTTATTTTCCCTGCATTATGGTGGAAAATATTGAAATGGAATTTTAACAGAGACACATATAAACTTTTTCATCTGGGAAAAAGAAGTTAGATGTTCAAAAATATAGTGGAAGATACTTGTTTGGCACTAATATATGAACAAATTTTGGAATTGTTGAATATATAATAATAATAATAATAATAATAATAATAATATATGACGAATATGAGTCAACAGTGTGATATAGCTACAAAAAAGACAAACATAATTTTCAGCTGCATCAGGAGAAGCGTAATTTCCAAAACACAGGAAATAATAATTTAATGCATTCTGCACTTGTCAGACCCAATACTGTGCTTCTGGGAACTACACTAAGAAGGATCAGAGAAGAGTAAACAACATGGTAATGAGGCACAAAACTTAATTCTGACAAGGAGAATTTGAAGGAACTGAATATGAGTTGAGAAGGCTGGATCGTTGCACCAGTAGAGTCTTGCTCTGTGTTGCCATCCCAGAGTACAGGGTACAAAATAATAGTGGTACAGATACAGTTTAGCAGATTCAGGTTGAATATAACAAAACGACAGTAAAAGATTGTTCAGGTGGTGTTGAGCTTGGTGAATGTGGCTGCATGGTTATCTTTTGAGATTGCTTTGTATCTATTGGACAGTGGAGGTTGGATTCAGCGGTACAAAGGGTCCCTTTCAACTTTCTGATTTTAATCTTATGATCTCATGGCCTCCAGCAGATGGAAGTAATGTCTCAGTTTAGAGGTATTGATGGGTATTGGTACTGCTTATAGGAATTACAGTCCCAAACATCTGGAAGGCAGCAGGTTATCTACCCTAAATTTAGAAAGCAGGTATTTCCCCTCACATCAGCCAGGTATATAGTATAGTATTCGTAAGGGGCTTGTGTGCACAAACAGGAACGTTGCCACCTCCATTTCTTTGAGATGGAAGTCAGGAAGTGGCTTTTTAAAATACAGAATACATTGACTAATAATCTCTGCAGCATATTTAATTGAAAAGTGTGTTACAATAATTCTGATTTATCTATATGCCAATTTTGTGAGTTAATCCCAGGTTTCTAAATTACTATGTTGTTAGTTTCTCCACTCCCCCCTCCCCCCAATACTCTTTCTGTCTGCCTGGTTTAAAAAAAACATAGTCTAGAATTTAAAATATCTTTTTCCCAACTCCATTAACCTGATTTATATAGATGGAAAGCTGACGTGAAGTTTTCCAGGTTCAGCATATCTGATAAAACATATGCATTTAATTTAGATTTCTGTGGTGTGGCCAACATTTACCTTGAGGACAGTGGGTGGTACATCATACCAGTTGCTCCTGGAGCTGCATGGCCCAAGATTGTAGGGCATAATTGGTTCTCTAGGAACAAATCTTTTTAAAGGAGGGATCCTGAGTCCACCGCATTCCATATGGATGACTCATCTTTCCCCCTTTATGCCTCCCTCCTTTTGCTGTTGTGTCCAAGCACTTGGGTAGAGGGAAATAAACCTGAGGTTAGCTGGATTGAAAGACTTTTCTGAAAAGAGATGCAGAGGCTGAAGGTTTTCCTCTGGAAGATGAGATGAACAGATGGGATTAGTTCTGCCTTGTACTAGCCTGTGCTGAATGTGTAGGAGGACCAGGAGGGTATTCAGTACAGTGCTCTGCTGTATGTTTTTTTTTCCTTTTTGTGGAGGATTGCAGTTAGAGTGATGCCAGGAAGATAAGGGAGTTGTCTTGCTTGTGTTCTTTGATTACATTTCTCTTTGGTGTATGCTTTGTACACAACAAACTATTTCTTTTTTGTTGTTGTTAGATTTTTAAACCACCACAGTAACACAACTCTTAGTAGTGTATAGAGATAATCCATGTGTGTGTGTGTTCATTCCACCATAATGTAACAATTGCAAAAATTAAAAATAATCTCACACACACACACACACACACGGCATTCCCCAATAAAATTACATTTTAAAGCCCTCAAGAAGATCTTGCTTCTAGAAGGACAGTAACATCTAGTTTCTTGGAGGAGGCTGTTCCATAATATAAGAGCCATTACTAAAAAACAGCTTCTCCTGGCAAGTAAGCACCCCCCCCCCCCCCCC